GCTGGTGCATCAGTAACATGCTTTACTTGTTATTTTAATGTTTAAAATCTATGTGGAAAGTTCATATTTGTAACTGTTATGTCTTTTTCTTCCCTTTTTCTCTCTCTTAGTGAGGAGAAGGCAAAGTTACTTAGGGACACTGTGGCTAAAATAGAGGATAAAAGCCAAATCCTTGAGTAAGTTACTCAAAAACAAATACTGACTAATACAGGATATTCTGTCATCATTTACTCACCCTTAAAAAAAAAAATCTTTCAGGTTTCCAGGAATGATGAGCAAATAATGATAGAATTTCCTATTTTCGGTGAACTAACCCCAAAGCAAATCTGCCCTGTGTATCTATAGGCTTGTACAGTAGCTGAAATGTTTTCCTCTTTTCTCTCGTACTCTGTGTAGGAAATTTATGGAGTCTCTAAGCAGTGACTCTGTGTATAAAATAGACATGTTTAAATCTCTGCCTGACGCTCTGTTGGAAAAATGTGCATTTCTCAGTGTACGACCAGACACTGTCAAGAACCTCATTCGGGCCATGCAAGGTGAGAGTGAACACACACACACACACAAACTTAAAATTAGGACAAAAACATGAATTTTGTAATAATTAAATGTGCATTCTGACATTTTGCAGTATGTTTCTTTTTTTAATCAGACAGTTCAACATTAAAACTAAGAATTCTAATATGTAGTTTGTAAACTTTGATAATTCTGAACAAATACCCAACAAATTCCTATTATCTACTATTGTTGTTTGATTTTTTATTTATTTTTTTGATGGATTTGATGACATCCAATTATGTGTGTGTTGCAGCACTATCTAATGTTTACACCGATGTTGGTTCATCTCTGGATGAGGTCCGTTGTGCCCTTGAGGAAGATGAGGCTGGGGATAAGAGTTTGATGGAGGTAGTGGGGCAGAAGGGATTGCCGACAAGGCCTGCAGTCTTTCAGGATATTCAAAAAGAGTTGAAGAAATATGAAGCTGCTCATCAGGCAGCCAGCAACACTAACACCGAGCTCCACAAAGCCATGAACCAGCACATACCAAACCTTCGTCTGTTACAGGGTTCTATTGAGGAACTCCGAAAGAGCCTGCCCCAGCCAGAACTTAGTCAAGGTAAAAGTGTTTCATGTGCACTTATGCATTTAGAAGAAGGAAAGATAAATAGAAGTGATCTGTTGTGAATTCATTCAAAAGTTGTTGATGATTCTTTACTTTCCTCTAAGATGAAATGTCATCCCTGCAAAAGATGAAGATTATTCTTGGCAAAGTTGATGAAATGCGAAAGCAGAGGATCTCATTGGAGAGCCAGCTCCGTGACCTTATTCATAAAGATGACATCACTGGAGTCCTTGTAACCACAGATCGTGCTGAGATCAAGGTTAATGACCAACTGAAACTGTTCAAAATAGATTGAAAGCAGAGCAGCACAAAGAGATAAATAAAAATAAGTACAAATGACAGGCTACAATTTAAAAGTTTGATGATCTCTTTCCTTCTCTTCTGTTTCAGACATTGTTTGCGGAGCAGTTGAAGAAATATGATCAGCTGAAGGGATATATAGAACAAAACTTGGTTGCCCAGGATAACATCCTGAAAGCCCTAACAGAAGCCAATGTACAGTACGCCCCTGTCCGCAAGACACTCACGCTCACAGAGCAACAGTATGTTTTTGTCTCTGTATTTTCATAGTCAAAAGACTCAGATTTCAAATGTTAGTATCTGTTTCTGTGGCATTGTATTTAATCCTCATTTTGTCCTGAAGATGGAACAGCACTGTGCAGGCCTTGATTGCCTCATTTGAGGCATATGAGGACTTGATGAAGAAGGCTGAGGAGGGAAAAGACTTCTACCAGGATATGGACAAGAAGACCTCCGCCCTGTTGGACAAAACAAAGTCCTATTGCCAAACCAGAGAGGGAGAGCGAGTTGCCTTGCTGGAAAAGTAAGTTGTCTCAGGTGGAAGGATATTATATTTTGAATAAATTTTGTATGTGAATATATGAGTAAATCATCATTGTAGGTAGTCTCTGTTTGTACTGAATCTGTAACCTACTTATCAGCTCAAATCATTAACTAGTAGACTATTACAACTCAATACTCAAGGTATTTCATGTCAGATTCCATCCATTTTTCTCACCACATGCTTGTTTGATGTACTGTCTGCAGGGAGATTGGAAAAGGGCCGCCTCCTAGACCTGCCGCCCAAAAGCCTGTGGTCGGCCAGAAAGTTGTTGGTCGTAGATCTGGCCCTTCCAGTCTTGAGTCTGTAGGTCCTTCTGTTGCTTCTTTTGAAGATCTCCCACAAGAACTACGAAGCCTCCCTCCAAATATGAATTTGCCTCGAGTTCCAGTAGTTTCCAATCCTTTTCATCATGGTGGAACTCCTGTTAGTTGGCCACAAGGGGCAAACCCTTTTCTGCCTACTCAGTATCCTAACCCGCAGTTTCCTACTACAGATCCAAAGTTTAGGCAACAGTTGGCCCACCATCTCCCACAGGTTCCTTATGGCCAGCCCTCTGCACCCCTGCAAATCCCTGGGTCGCCACAGCAGTTCCAGGTAAGACCAGCTGGAGGCATCACACCTGTCCATCCACAGGTTAACCAATCGACCACCCCACAGGTGCCTGCTCATGGGTACAATCCAGCTCTCTGGCAGCAAGGTGGGCCTATTGCTGTTACAGGGGGTTATTCTGTGCCTCCACAAATGGGACAGATTCCCCAAAATTCCATTAGGCCTGGTTTACCAGGACAACAGCAAGTATCCTTCCCAAACTCTCTAGGGCATCAGATGCCGTCTGGCATGCCTCAGTCTTCCTCTTTCCAGCAGATCATACAGGGAGCACCATGCCAAAACTTTACCACCCAGCCTAGACAAAGCATCCCCTCAACCACACCAACAAGTGCATTTCCTGGGCAAATCCTTCCGCCCTTTCCACCTGGGCAAGTCCAGCCTCCAATGCCAGGCCAAGCACAGCAACAGTCTGGCCTTCCCTCAGGTTACCGGCCAGCATTACTTCCACATACCCAACCCCAGCTTGGTCCACCAGGCCAACTGACAGTGTCCCATCCTCATGGAGCCCTCATTCCAGGGCAAGTTCAGCCTCAGTCCACTCTTTCCAATCAGTTCCACCCCGGACAACTTCCACAAAACAGGCCTCAGCCTTATATGGGTTATGCCGCCACATCTTTCCCATCTTCACAACCGCAACAAATTCCTGCACCCCACCAAGTACATCCAGGGTCTCAAGTCTTACCACAGGCACCCTTGAGCCAAAATTCCCAAGTTCCTTTTGTCCCTCGTCCACTCAGTCAACCCCAAATGCAACCAGGAGCTATACCTCCACAAAGTAATGTGTATTCATTTGCACCAACACACGTGGGTCAACAGACCATTCCATCTCAATTCAACACCATGTTTAATAGACCCGGGGGACAACCCATGTACACGCCTGGTCAAAGCCAAATACTTGGCCCTCAAAATGTGGCTCACTCGTCATCAGGACAAGCAGTTGCCCCAGTGATGGACAATCCTGTTCCACCTTCACTTGGCAGCACCCTCATACCAATTCCATCACCTGTTCAGATTTCCACATCAAATACTGCACCACCAAGTTCTGACTCCACTGCAATTCTGGATTCTCTCCAGAACAAGGTGGATAATCTCAGCATTCAGTCCCAAACTAATTCCCATTAAAACAACTGTGCATATGCAGTCAATGGTAGTCAGGATACCATCCAGAGCACAATCAAAAATGACGAGTCGACGGGGTGCCAAAAAAAGATGATCTTGGTGATTTGGATCCTTTATGGTCACAAAACAAAATCTGATGCCTGAACACACACTAATACTTGCCTTTTCTACATGTCCAGTACTAACACAAAATTGTACTGTACTCTCTGTACCTGTAATTACACACTATGACTTAGCAAATGTACTACAAGCAAATAGAAAACTGCTTTAGCACTGCAATTCTATGCAATCCTTTAATATTGTCTAATTTCACTCTGAATTTCTATTCCTAAATAGCACTTTAGTTTGCACTGTAATGAGAATGATGATGACGAGGATGAGGAAGAGTTGACTATGGTTGTTTCTATGTTAGGATGCATTTTCCTCTTTTTCAAAAATATTTTGATACAAAAGCTATTCTAGTTCTTGCATATAATTTTGTGATATAGTACAAACAGCTTTATTTTAGTGCTGTATACACCGTAACACAATTTTAATAATAAAAAAGCTGCTTAAATTTCCAAATTAAACTAGTTGAAAATTCAAAATGTGTTTACATGTCTACCTTTATAAAGAGTCGTGTTATCAGCACTATGCACCTGGATATGCAGTTGTTCACATAAAGCTTGGTCAAACTGTATAGGAAACATCTTAAGTCACATCAGTGTTTTTTTTAAAGTCCCTACTGTGAAAAGTGAATTTTTACTAGTCTGAGACTAAGTGTCCTCTTCAGCAGATTCCCTATGCAAGTTTTGCCCTATGCATTCGTATTAATATAGCATACAAAATATAACCAATATAGCAGATTATAGTGTATCATACAATAAACATGCTGTTGTGTGCTAATGTACCATTGTTAAATGCACCACTGCCCTAATATGGGCATATGATGGCAGTGTCTGGTTGTGTTCTGTTTTAGGATTGTCTAATATGAGTGAGTCCTTCTTTCTGCATGGGTTACTGGAGCTGTCTCGATTAAATCAATATGCTTCATTTGCTTCCGGCACAAAGAACCACAGAATTACTACACGTACATCCTGCAGTAAATGTCTGCAAATAATAAAACGGATGCTCATGTTGAGTCAGGTCTTTTAGAGAGACTTCAAGTCTATTACAGATTTTTCCTCTCTCTCTCTCAAACTGTACTCATAAACAGGTCATAGAGAGGATGATTAGGAGAAGAGGTCAGAAAGTGCACCCTGTGGAATGGGTAGTGATTGGCATCTAGTATTGAACAGTATTGATGTATCTCATTGCCTGTAAACATGAAAATGGCTAACAATACATGTTTGTTGCTAGTCAGAAATCTTTTTGTCTAAGTAGTGAGCTCAAGAGCCCTTTACTCTTCTGAGGCAGTCTTTTACTTCAGCAGTCTGTGCATGCCATGCATTGCTTTTGACTTGCTTTGATGGAGTGAACGCTGGGAGAGCAGCTGACCCTGTTTTTCTTTGTAAGATGGTTTTGGCTTGAGCAGAATAACACTCTTAGCATTGAAGTGTTTTGTAGAGGACTTGATTAGAGAACATGGTATTAGTTTAGATTATCAGCATACATCCGTCAGTCTTCACAATGCAAGACAACTCTGAACTTACATTTTGATACGTCGTGTTTGGTAACATCAACATTTTAGGACACATTTTCAAAATGTATGTTTGATCCTTCCTGAGCCTGTCCAAATCATCTTTTTTTCCAAAACACATTTCTCATAGTTTTTTGTACCAAAAACTTTGTTCTCTCTGCAAATTTTTCCTTTTTTTTTCAAGATGCAACACGAGAAAAAAAAAAGATGGCTTGCTAACATTTAGCATGCCACAAGTGGCACTAATTTAATGAGCATGAAATCTAATGCCTACACTGATTTGTTGATTTCTTATTGAATAATACAAGAAGATTTTACAAATCGTTAAATCAGGTTACATATATACATATGCGTTAATGTTGTTGTTGTTTTTTTAAATTGTTGGTCTATGTAAACATCCCTTTTGTCCAGCAAAACAGTTTACATCCCTTGGGAGAGAACAAACATTTTTTTTTGGGTAAAGAACAAATTCTTAGGATGTAGGCTGAGCAAGGAACTAACACTGTTTTTCATGTTGAAGTTCAGGGCTTTTGTGTTTTCTCATGTTGCCTTTTGACAGGAAAAAAAGAGAAAAGTTTTTCAGTAGAGAAAAAATTGAAGAGACAAATTTTTTTTTCTCTCGCTGTGAATTTTTTCTTAGTACTTAGGCTCAGGAAAAATTCAAGAAATTTTTTCCACCCCGAATTTTCCCTTCACAGTGTAGTTCTGTGCTTCCATGGAAAATAGCAACCACAACTTGCATTTATTTTCTTTTTTTGCCTTTTCAGAAATGGCCCCATTTTGTCCAAGGAACCAATAACAACAATGTCAGATCTAAACAATTCTAAAATTCTTTATTCTTAGTGAAAGTATTAATCTAACATTAAAAACACAAAAAGCACCTTGTTAATAATAATAGTTATCAAGTTGTTTGTTTGCCCTGAATGTTTACAGGTTCCATCATTTCTGTGAATGCATATGTATGAATATGAATGTGCTGTTTGACAAAATATAAAACATAAAACTTGGCACCATAACACATCTGACATCAATGTTTGTGTCTGTAATACCAAATTAACAATTTCTCGACTTCTTTTCCCTTTATACTCCTGTTGCACAACAATTCTACTTCATCTCACCATTTATCATCTACTAACCTTTATTGTGCTGCTGTGTGCTTTTGTTTCTGTCAAGGCCAATGCTTTTAACCTGCCTCCCAATTGATGTCTTGTTCATCCACAAGACTCTCGCTCATTAGCAATCAGTGTCTCTTAAATTTGTCACGGTCAAGTCGCATGTGGGATAAATTTGCCATTTGTTTAGTTGTACATCAGTCAGTGTTGAAGCTTGTACTAGTGTTAAGGTGTGTAGGCCGTGCCCAGGTGAGGGCTGGATGAGCCGGACAGCACTCCCGGAAGGGAACGTGTGCTAATGGGGCTGTAGCTGGGTTCGGAGCTGCGTCTGGGGCAGAGCTGGGACAGAGGCCTCCCCTGTACAGATCTGCCAGGAGGCCGGCGCAGCATGGGGGACTTTTTAGGGGATTTGGGGAGCTTGTAGAGAAAGACGTTGTAGTGCAGTGGGGGGCTTGTCTCGGGGAGCATTTTCGCCTCTTTGGGGAGAAGCAACTCTAAGTCGATGGTCACACCACCCTGGACACATACACACATACAAAGGCACAGGTACAAGTACACAAGCATAACAACACAAACAGGAATAAAAAATAAAAAAAATTCACATATAACACAATTACACAGACAACACATGGTAAACCCATACATAAAGAAAAAGCATAAAGAATTTAACAAATAAAGTGCATAAATTGATAACAACTCCCCCCCCCTCGGCATTAAAACGATTTAAAGTCAGTGAATAGAGGAAACTATTAGGCCATTGTTTTGTGAGCATTATCGAGTGATTTGAGTGTTGACATCAACCTGGCACAAACTATGAGCGGTGAATGAGGTGGGCATGAGCAAGTAATCAGCTTGCGGGAAATGATTTCGTATTATCAAGCTGAATTAAACAAAGGATTGTACTTCACTTGGACCCTGTATTAAGTAGAGGGGTGCTTAATCTTTTCAAAACCTTTGTAATGCCTTATTTTGAGGCTCATTTGCAACTGTCAAATTTACTAGACTGAGTGCGCGCTAGTTTCGGTCTGCATATAATTGCTATGCAACAATCTGGCATTAGTCACCAAATTCAATATAAATGTCTAATTGTTGTATCAGTGATTAAATTCAATAGATTAGATTCAAAAGCCCAGTTTCTGCTCTTTGGATAAACTTTCAGAGGAAAGCAGCTTTTCAAACTTCAGGTGTCATGTTTAGGTGGGAAACTTTGGTACTAGCTTAATCTTTTTTTTTTTTTTTTAGCAATTTATGGACAGAATTCTTGTGCTAATTTGTGAGTAAAACTATCAATGAGTGATGGCAGACTCGATAAGCAACTAAGCACATCAAAGCTAAGTTCCAGCTCTACTATATTCACATTCAAAGGTTTGGGATCAGTAAGATTTTTGTTTTTGATAAGTCTCTTATGCTCACCAAGGCTGCATTTCTTAGATCAAAAATACAGTACAAAGAGTAATATTGTGAAATATTAGTACAAATAAATAGTATTAATACAGTTTGAAAATAAATATTAAAGCTGCATTTTCTTAAGTGTCAAGATCTTTCAGAAATCATTCTAATATGCTGATTTGATGTTCAAGAAACATTTTTATCACAACTTGCATCCAGTATATAGTGGAAACCATTACACTTTTTCAGCACTCTTTTATGAATGGCAAGTTCAAAAGAACAGTATGTATCTGAAATACAATGTGTAAAATTATTTTCAATTTAATGCATCCTTGCTGAATAAAAGTATAATTTTTTCAAATCAATCTTACAGACCCCAATTTTTTTTTAACAGTATTCTTTTTTTTTTTTTGCAAATGAAAAAATAATTTAGTAAAATATAATCAATTATAAAAATATAAATAAAATTAATTTTAAAGAGAGGAAAATTGTCACTTATGAACAGTGACATGTTTTACATTGTTCATTTTTTCAAACTTTCTTTGCCAACTCACAGCCAGACTGGATAGCAAATGGCAAATGTCATGAAAAGTATTCACGTTTTGTTATACAAACCCAAATATGTAAAGTCAGGACAGTCTTACAATTAAGCATTGATATGAAGGTAAAATGTCCAGTATGGTTAGCAGTACCTGAGGAACGCTAAAGCCATGCACAGATGCAAAGCAAAAGAGTGAGGAGGAGCAGTGAAAGTGTAAAGGAGTCAAAACAGGAACGGTGGAGTTCAGGAATACACTGGCACTCAATTTGGTACTGGTAAAATGTTTTATTCCAAACAAACTGGCTTTATTTATTTTCATTTAATTTCTCCAAAAAAAAGTACCAAAAAAATATTTCAATACACCAAAATAATTAGAAATCAATTAGTTTCAAGACACAATGAGCATTAAAACTGTATGATACTGCATATAAATATTAATCCAAGCAGTATTTGTATATATATTCAGACATACGCACTGAATACCGGTAAGCCAACAAACATCTACAAATCTCGGAATTATTTTTTTTTACACAGTCTAAATAGCTACGTTATTTCCCACAGACGTTTTGTTTTTTGTTTTTTTTTATTCGAAAGAACACCAATGCATGCTGACTTGAGTAAGGCAGGACAGACAGGAGTTCAGAAGGTGACAGCGGTGAAGACTGAAGGTCAAAGGTTGAAAACCTGGCGGCTAAACCTTTGGGTTGTGGGGTGAAGTGTTTCATAGCGTAGCGTGACTTAGCGGAACAGTACAAAGCTTGACATAACACGAAGCAGCGTGACATCAGCAGGCACAGCAAGCAAGGACAAGGTGAATGTGGCAACGCCAATGTGCTGGTAAGGTACTCTGGCGGTAGGAACTCCACCATGTGATGACAGAGTACAAACATAAGTTAGCATGCTAGTTCAGTGCTTCGTTTGTGTGTTTTGAAGCCCACACTGAGCCATCTTGAGGTGAATGCAAGGAAGAGTGCCATGTCAATGTTTAGTCCACTAATTAGGGTATTTTAGTAATTTCAAGGTGTCAAATGTGTGTCTTGCTACAGTCATAGCGCCAGCTTGTGGCAAAAGGGTGTTACTACACGTTCATGTTGTTCTGCATTGAGTTTACCTCCTCTGAATTGTCTTCTGTGGCGGCCTTGTCGTTTTCCAGTTTTGGCGTGAGCGAGTTCTGGTTGTTCAAAGACTCGTCCTCTTTAGGGGGACATTTGCATGGATCTTCTTTGCAAGTGCAATCCTGCGGAGCAACACACATACACACAAGATGACAATGAGGGGGAAAAAATAACTAAATGTTCCACTCCACTCTTTTACATCTGGCATTAACATCTCAAATGTGTCTCCAGTGACCAATTCCAATGCAATCACACACATAAAGCTATCAGTGCATAAGAGTCATATGGATTATTTCTGATAGCTGTGGTTCATTTTGGAGCTTGACAGCCCCCTAATGACTGAATGGAATGGAATGAGGGAGAGTAAATGATAAAATTGTCATATTTGGTGAGCCTCTATTTTTAGTACAATTATGCATTATGCCAGTCTGTGACTTAAATTGTATTTTTGCAAGTCTATTTAAAAAAAAAAAATCAATTATGGAAATTCAAAATAAGACAATTATGAGAATTTAAAATTATGACAACTGTGGTTCAATTTCAACAAAAATAAACTATGAAAAGTCAAAGTAAGACAATTATGACAATTCAAAATTATGATAACTGTGGTTCAATTTCAACTTATGACTTGAAGATGACATATTTTGTAATTATGACTTTGTAACAAGTCAATTATGAGATAAGTCATAATTGACCATCTCAGTTTTGACTGTCAATTTTGACTTTTGATCTCATAATAAAGTCTTGGTATCTCATAATTCACTTGGTATGTCTTGACATTTGGCAAAATTTTGACTTTCATTATTGACAAAGACAATAATGAGATCAAAAGTCAAAATTGACATACTATCTCAAGATTGATTTAATATGTCAGTTTTGACTTTTGAATTCATAATTAAGACCTGGTCAATTAAAGATTCAAAATTATGCCAAATGTCAAGACTGACATACCAAGTACCTCAAGCTGCTTGTTGGATCACCGGATGTTAATACCAGATGTAAACAAGGCACCATAACAAACAAAACTGTTCAGGAGGTGAGTGCATGGATCTGGATTCAGTTTTTACTTCACAGCTGAGGGAGTAAAAGGTCAACTTCAGGGCATAAACTGATCCACAACCAGGAATTTCAAGGGTTATCGGCAGTTTTTACTATTTCGCAAGAGACATCAACACACTATAAGCATAATGGTTACATTATATAATATTATATAATATATTATTATATATAATATGGGACTAACAGTAAACCTTGCTTATTCAGAAGGCATTAAGCAATTCTTGTTAAAATGGTGTTTTCAACAAAATGTTCACTGCTGTGAACTAATGCTTGTCATTACAACAAGTTGCTTAAAAGCAAAGTTTTTTGTACAACTTGCTACCTGTGATATCCCTTTTTTGGAACCACAAAGGCAATGATTGTACATACCATAGGGAGGAAAGAAAAGACTATTCATGCTGCTGAAATCAGACATGTGTAAATACTCATTCTCAAGAGAGAGAAGATGAAAAATGTCAAAAAAATTCTCCCCCGGAGACAGTAAGACAAGTAAACAACTCACAAGTAAACAAAGTCACCTAGGGATATTTTCATAGCTCTTTCGTCTATGTTCTGTAATCAATCATCCCTCATTTCTTGCCTCATCTCAGTCAAGCTGTCAGACTCTTTTAATCATAAAAGAGTCTCTTCCACTATGAACTCACTGGGGGAATGGACCGGCGGAGTTGAACAAGGTGAAGAAATTTCATTTGTGAAGGCAATACAACCCCCACACAATCAAAAGATCATTTGACTCAAACTAGATTTGAGTTTCACCTCAGAGTAAACAAATGGCCTAAATCAAAGTGCAGGAGAACAGGATCTGACAAGTTCAAGGTTCACCAGGTACTGCAAGGTAACAGGTGAATATAGCAAAGACCGCTGTTTGGTCCTCTTTTAAAGATCAAATGTTACACGCACAACTGAAGGAATAGGTTCATCATTCATGATAATCTACTCTGAAAGATGACCCCCAGATGGGAGCACAGAGAAACAATCTTTTTTTCACACAAAGTTTAAATGTTTATCTCTTTTGTCATCCATCTGTTCATATACTGTCGATGTCATGATATCAAAAGGCAGTTATTTTTGTAAATTGCTATTGAGATTAATTAGGGATGCTTCAATATTAAGTTTAATTTGGTAACACTTAAGTATAGGGACCAATTCTCACTATTAACTAGTTGCTTATTAGCATGCCTATTATTAACATATTGGCTGTTTACTAGTACTTATAATGCATATATTCTGCATGATCATATTCTACATCCCTAATCCTACCCAAAACTTAACATCTACCTTACTAACTCTTAATAAGCAGCAAATTAGGAGTTTGAGACAAAAGTCATAGTTAATGGTTTGTTAATAGCGAGAATTAAACCTTAAAATATAGTGACCTTTAATTTCAATAAGCTGTTAAATATTTCCAGCTTTTAATTCCAATCACTTGAATAGGCTATTTCTTCTAAATAAAATTTAAAATAGCCTCCTACAGACTTAAAATCATTTTAAAAACTACACAAAATTCAGGCATCACACAGGACTTTTTTTTAATAATTTCAATTTATACATATATATATATATATATATATATATATATATATATAAAGTCTCAGTGTCTCATATGATATATATGATCATTTTTAATATTTATCTCAAAATGTACAGTATAAAAAGAGAGATATTATAGATTAGGGACTTTTTAAAGAGTATATTTACCAATCCATATTATTAAATTATTTGTGTTTTTAAAGATGAACTTTATTAAGATTAACTGGGTTTTAGATGATGGCAAAGTTAATCTACATGTAACAGAGGAAATCCACAATTAGATATTTGATATCAGACAATGCAAATAAATAATATATTACTCAATAATAAAAATAATACCACCAATAAATGATATAGTATCGATATTTCATGTATCCTTAGAATTATGAATATGTTAGTCAACAAATTTCTACAAGGTCGCTGTGTTGTTAGTGCTTTGAATGATGCAAGGAGATTAACAGCGGACTACTACATTCACTAGTAGGATGTTAAATTGCATGAATCACACTAAAAAGTCACAATAGCAACTATGATGAGGAAGCGTCTATTTTAAACCGCTAAATCTATTATTGCTTGTCTATGTCATTTCATAGGAAGTAAAGGCTCAAGATGTGTTTCAACCAGATAGCGGACTTTTAAGGTGAGTAATAATGAAGCTACAGGATTAAAGCGTTTTATTTGAATCAGCAGGGTATCAGAGCTCACTGGGAGGAGGTCAGATTGAGTCCTCTTACCTCGCTGCAGGGATCTTCTTTAGGTTTATATTCCCACGTGTATCTGCTCATGGTTTTCTAAGGAGTGGGGTGGCGAGAGAGGATTACTCTACTGACACATTTCTGGTACATCGTTATATCATGCCCTCTTAATGAATTGACACCTCAGCAGATATTATTTTCTTTGTACCTTGTAAAATTAGAACTAAAACCGTTGGAAAATCATTGCATTGACTGCCCAGCCGCTCTACACAACTGCTAATATGATCAGTATGTTTGGAAACACATAAAATAATCCAGTTTCTCCAATGCTTCATGCAGCCTGTAGTACTTCACATGACCTTAGGTGGCACATGCGAGTCAATGACAGACGTTGGGGGAAAGAGTGAGGGATGAAGAGGATGGTGTTTCTATTTCTCATCTTAATGATAAAAAAAGAGTTGAGGGAAAGAGTGAGGGATGACGAGGATGCTGTTTCTATTTCTCATCTTAATGATAAAAAAAGAGTGGAAAAGAGAGAATTCCAACATGAAGAAAGGAATAAGACAATAAGCATACCGCCTAAACCGAAAGAGAGAGGGAGCACTTTATATCTTCAGTACTCACGCAAAGGAAAACAGAGGGGAAGAGAGGAGAGGAAAAGTTACCTGACACATAATGTTATCATAGTAAGCCAAAGCACGGGCATGGGGGAGGTTAGTCGGGGTGTCACACACTTTCCTTACATTTGCCTGAGAGCCCTCTGCGACGGTGGACAGCGAGAAGTTATCGATGTGCTGCTCCGACTTTGGGCGGAACTTACTGAAAGACGGAGAGAAAGACCAACAGAAAATAATTTAAATAAAACAAAATAATAAAAAAAAAACATCTGAATTTGAAAAATTATAAGTTTTCTTGCATCTAATAAATGAACATTATTTAGAGAAAACTGTTTCAATATGAACAGCACCAGTGCTTAACTATATATAATACAATCAACAAAAACTATCAATGTATGAATCAATCTCACTGAAACTGTCAATGGTTTCTTTTCCAAGCATAATTTTATTATATTCATACTTACAGACAATAATAAAAGTGAAATCACGCCATAAATTCTGTGTCTTGCCTTGCCTGCACGAAGACAGTCTTCACTCCTATTGGTTGCTGCTCGCAAAAGTCAATATACATAGTCTACATAAAGTCTACATAAAGCTCTCTTGCATAAAGTTCAAAATCTGCTGCACTGGACATGCCCACATCCTGTCACCATTGGTCATGTGGCCGGAAAACGCCAGCTCTCCACTGAAATAAATTGGAACATGTCACTTTGTCGCTGACAGTGTGAAGGAGGCTTTGTGCTCACCAAAACTGCATTTATTTGATCAAAAACAGTAAAAATACAGGGATATTGTGAAATATGACAACAATTAAAAAATGTTTTCTATCTTAATATATTTTAAAATATAATTTATTCCTGTGATAGGAAAGCTGAATTTTCAGCAGCAATTACCCCAGTCAACAGTGTCACATGATCCTTCAGAAAAATATAATTGAAATAGAAAGTGGCTTGGACATTATTATTTGATGCAGTGGATTAAAAACTCAACTTGTTTCCGCTACAAGCACACATGCACACAGGTGTTACCTGCAGCAGATGGCCCTGATGGGCAGTTATTAAAACTCAACCTTAATCACTTTTCACTGTTGTCATCTTGTCTTCATTACTATGCTCGGTCCCACTTTATATTAGGTGGCCTTAACTACTATGTACTTACATTTAAATTAATAATTTGATACAATGCATTTATTGTGTACATGCATGTTTTACATTGTACTTATATTTAAAAAAAATACCTGCATGTAATTACATCTGTAATTAATTTCTGTAATTGCATTATTTATTCACTGTTGACCCATCCCTTACACCTTAAACCTACCCATACCACCAGACCTGTCCCTAACCTTTTGCAGTTCAATATGAACATAATAAGTACATTGTACTTATTTTTTAATGTAAGTACATTGTAGTTAATAAAGTGGGACCCTATGCTCCCCTCCTATTCTCCTTTCTCTTCCACTCCTCTGCTCTCCATCTCACCCCTCTCTTGGACTGTGTTAAAATTCCTTTGGCTGCACGGTATATAGGTCACTCTCTCGTGTAGCACGGTCAGATTGGCCTACTTTTAGCAAAGAAGGGTGACATCATTGTGTTCAAAGCCCCATGTTAACACTGTTCATTTTATTGTACTCCAGCGTGTATGTGCAACAGTGTATTCAACCGATATTTAAACCATCAGATCTTAAACTAAGACTCTAAGAAGTGTGTTTACATGCAAGTGTCACCTGTGCTTGCAAAGTCGTCTGTTTTCAGTCTTAAGCACGTGCATCCTCTTGGAGAAAAAGACTACAACCATGAAGAGGAGGAGCAACATGATGGCAGCTCCGCCCACTGCTATACACATCACTTGGAAATCTGAAATGACCGACTCACACCTGGAGCCCTTGTTCCAGATATACTCCTGTATGTTACACCTACAAACAACAAAGAGAGGGGTGTTAGAAAAGAGGCAGCTGAGCAACATTCAAAACTAGAATATAATAATTAACTTCTGTGATCATTTAATGACAGATGTTGTATAAGCAGGATTTGGGACAATGCAGTCTACATGAACACAGAAGGAAATCTTTCGGAAATAACCAAAGAATTTTCAAATGCAAAAGAAATTGAATGGAAATGCCACAGATTAGGAACTTTCAGATTAGGAATTTTTCATTGATCAGGAGACATAAGTACTATTATGTCTTACAGATTTCTCCTAAAATTCATTAAAAGTCACGTAAGCAAAGTTCATATTAAAATCTTGGTCTTAAGTCAAATTTAAAAATCTTGAATTAGTTTGGAATAAAATCTGAGAATAGTTTGTGACTATAGAGAGAAATCTCATTTCATATTTTTCCTACCTTTAAGGGAAACTATTGGCAACAGAAACAATGAATGTAGAAAAAATAAGTCTAAAGGGGAGTTTGCGTGTTAATGCAAATGACAATTAAGATGCGGTTTTACCGTGTGTGATATTTTCCAGACATTCAAACAAACTGGCCATTACAAACACATCTGTGCGAAGATGAAAGAAAGTGAGAAACACTATAGTGTGTTGTACAGTATAAGTGTGTTGTGTGGCCTTTTGACCCATTTATCATTACTATGAATCTGCAAGGTTACAGCAGAGCTTACAGCTGCATGACTGGACAGATGGCCCTGTCAAGGACGTGCATGTGCTCCTCTATTAGTGCCGGTCCCACAGAGAATAAAGCACCTGAGCTGTGCACAGTTCACAACTTCTAAAAATAGATTTACAAATTCTCTCATTTACCAGTGTTGTCAGTGAGGTGCTCGATATCTTATTGAAGATGCTGGATCTATTATTTTTCTATTATGTAATGTATTTTAGCCCATATGGTTCCTTGATTGAGACACAGGTAAATTACAGCTGTGCTGATATTGCTTTTATACAACAGTTTAATAAACAAGAAGTTACTGAGTAACTTATATTTTAGACAAAATATTGCACGTTACATTTTTGTTGGCGGAGCAAAAACAATAGTTTCAAATGAAGCCAAAGCAAATACCATTAAACTAACAGACATGCCATATGATGCTGGGCAAGCACAAACCACAAATATATACATAGGGCCCTATTTTAACGATCTAAGCGCATGGTCTAAAGCGCACGGCGCAGGTGCAGCGTGTCCGAATCCACTTTTGCTAGTTTAACGACGCGCCCGTGCGCATGGTCTACACGGGTTGTCCCTATTCTCTTAATGAGTAATGGGTGTTTTTTGAGCGTAACGTGCAATAAACCAATCAGAGTCTCATCTCCCATCCCCTTTAAAAGCCAGTTGCGCTCGCGCCATGGCGGGTTCGCTATTTACATGGCGGAATGTAATTTTTCATATTTAAAAATGTTTGTGTGCTGCTGCGCGTCCCTGTGTGTGTAATAAGTGTACTCGCGTTGTGCACCCGCCTATAGGCGCATATTACTAACGCGCTCTTTAAATAACAAAGAAAAAATATTGCGCCAGACTTTAGTTCTGAGTTTAGGTTTGAGTTGGTCTATGGCGCAGTCTATTTTCAGTTTCTCAAAATAACAACGCGCCAACAATGCGTCTGAACACACCTCTTTTTTAGACCAGCATGCCCATGGGCGCAAATGCATTTGCTATTTAAACAACGCGGTGCAGGACGGGAAAATTAGAACTGCGTCGGGCTGAAACTAGCAAAAACACTTTCGCCCGCGCCTTGCGCCGCATTGCGCCGGGTGTATGATAGGGCCCTTACACTCTGCAGCCTATGGGTACATTTTGAAGTGAGTGAAAGGCCAATCAATAGCGCACATGCAGGAAATCATTGCTCAGTGTGCATGTAGGCCAAGTTTACTATTCGGCCTAAAAAGATCAATTTGAAACTTAGTTTTATGGTCTGTTACTAACTACCCATCCATTTAGTGTAAACCATTGGCTGCGCTACACAGAAACGCATTCACTGAAGAAAATGCACCCATTGACCCCCCCCCGCCCCAAACCTTACGTTCATCTGTTAGTTCACTCTTTACGTGCTCTACAAATGGAAACCTTGACTTTTCTAATAGCATTGACCCCATTAATGTAGACAGCACCCTGTCATGCCTTCTCTCAGCGATCGACAAGTTAGCCCTGCGGTGTGTGCTACACACCAAAATCCAGTGCCTGACTGAAAGTTACTTTTACATTCAGTAATGGAGCTGGACTGAATGGGGTTTTGCTTTTTTATTATAAAAAAAAAAATAAATATTCACAAAAAAGGACAAATAAAAAAAAAAATAGATCAGTAAATTATTTCATATAATTAAATTATAATTTAATTTTTTTCCTTAGTTTATATTGTTATTATAATAAATAAATAGGTAAAATAGATTGTTGTTGTTCAAATAAATAAAAATATTTGACTATAGCAAGATCACAAAGTCAAACTATTCTTTCTGTGGGATAATGAGCACTGATCAATTATAATAAGGCAGGAAAGAAATAGTTCATGCTGATTTCATTCTGACTTTAAAGATGTGGATAAGGGTGTCGCAGTATCCAGTGTAGAGCCAGTTGTCATCTGCTCAAATACACAGCTTAACACATCACATCATCTAGTTTTGAGACTTCACTACACACAAATAAGATTCTCAGAACCCCACTATTATGGTCCAAAGCACCACCTTGAGGCAGGGTCTTTAGCTCTTAAACTGAAACACACACATTCACAGATCTGGGCTCTGACCCAAATCCCTTTGAGCAAATGTTTAATAAGGTTCTGCACTGGCCTCTGAGCAGAGTTGTGGCAGCAGTGGATGCTGGTTTAGTAGTGATATGATGCCAAGCCATGATGACAGGCTTGGAGTGTGGAACTGAAATTATAGCAGTTGTTTGTGAGTCAAATGCTAAACATTCTTAATATGCACACAGGAATTCAACCCATCATCTTTATCATAGTATTAAAGCAATCTTCTGATTATTACCATGTGTCAGACTGAATAAATTTCTGAAAAAAAAAAAAACTAAAAAACAACTGAATGTGTATGTTAATCTCCATGACTGAAATTAGCTACAAACGTGAAAGGCATTTACAGTTCTTTGGTGTTTTGTAAAAGCATTTGTAATTAATAATGGTTTATGTACAGTATATAGCCTCATATTTCTTACATTTTATATTCTAAAGCTGCTTCACAAATAATTTATGGTCTCATCACTTCTGCCATTTTTGACAATGTCCAGTTCTTGTAAATTTTTAATTCAATCTGATTCGCTACTATATGGAGAGCAGTCTCCAAAAAAAAATAAAACAAGAAATACAGCCACAGTTGTGATATAAATGTCACATTTATGAGATAGGTTGGAATTTTTCTATGTTAAACATGTTCATGGTTCTGGCATTGCGCGCTGGATAACTATTAGGAACTTAAAATTCTGCGTAATAATAATAAGGTATGGCATTTTTTAAAAACCTTGTCACTTTAAAATTACCAAGGCTTTTGAAGGCACCAGGCAAGTGTTACTGAAGGACACTGATGAAAAAAAACTGGGTCGTTCTGTTTTACTCAACTGCACAACACATACTGGATCAAGCATATTTAAGGCAACAGCTAATGATCATTGATATTTCTAGCAGATGGAGGGAAAATAATAAATTGAGTAAGTGCACTGTTGGCATAGTTTTGTCACCAAACATTTCTACAGCAAGACGTTTTCATGTTCTTGTAGCAGCAACTAACACAATGGCTGAAGAACTTCAACAATGATTTATATATTATATATCTTATTTGTTTTACATATGGTATAGTGTTGTTACATTATCCATTTAAATAAAGGCCAAAAAGCTTTCCTATAAACCCTATGGCAACTGCCGCACAGTGTAAAATAGCGTGTATGACCTGGCTAGCATGAGCTTGGCCCAGTTTCAAGATCATTGAGGGTAGGCCATTTACTACTATTCCCAAGAGATGTCTTCAACTGAGACTCAATCCCTCTTCAATCCCAACATTTGATGTAAATCATAATCCCACACCATGAACAGATGCAAGAACATGACTGAAGGATTGAGTTACATCTTCAAACTCATTATGAACGTTTGATCAGATGCCACTGATGCTTTCCGCATTCCTTACACATGATAAAAAAACAGCTCAAACATGTATGATGACACCTTTCACAAACCAATTTAAATATTTAGATGAAAATTGTAATCTATTAAATGTTACATATTAAGTATATGTACTGTATTACTTGTGTTCTTCCATTAATTTGTCTTTTGTGTGTTTTTTGTGTTGGCTAAGCAGGCCAATTAGAGACAAACACTCTCCATTGTTCCATTAAATACACATGACTAATTAAAACTGAACCCATAGGCCGAAATCCCGGGGAGGTTTTCCCCCATCTGAGGGTTGTCCCTCCTAAAAATATGATTAAAAAACCACGCTGTGCATTGTAAATAACAATATTTTATAGCACTGTAAAAACAATTCCGTAAAATTTACGGTAAAAAAACGGCAGCTGTGGTTGCCGGAATTTGACCGTAAAAAATACGGTAGCAACGTTTTAGGTTTTACGGTTTTAACTTAAATATACAGTTAAATACTGTAATTTCATTAACTGATATAATGTTAATATGCCAACCTACTGAAGTACTGAAATCTGTTTTGTATCTTTGTAATACACTGATAACCACCAAATGCAGGTGGTGATGAGAAAGTCACATGATGAACCAAAGCCCAAAACATAGTTATTTCAACAAAAAAAAAACATCAAATTTGAAATGTAACACAGGGAATTCTGGGAATGTCAATTTACAGTTATTCACTGTAAATTATACAGTCTTTTTCACTTCCAAAAACGGTATACTACCGTGAAATGAATGTCCAATACATGTAATGTCCAATACAGTTTTTGACCGTATATAGTAGGGGAATTTACCGTTAACCATTTAACAGGTATTTACTGTAGCATTTTTACAGTCTTTTACCGTTAAATTCACGGTCATTTTTTACAGTAGTAAAACAACACAAACGGGGAAAAAATGCGTTTTAAGTTTAGAAACATTTTGAGTCTCCCCCTCCCTTGCCTCGCTTTGGTCCAAATGCCTGCTTTCGTCTTAAGTTGCGATTTTCTAGGTCGATATGGCTTATGGATATGGTTCCTAGCCATATCGGCCTAGAAAATCGCAACTTTTAATTTTCCATCAGTCTTAGTACACGATGTAACTACAGAAGAGTCAAGTTTTAAATAGGAAAAATATAGAAACTCTTTGGTCATTTTAGAGCGAGATGCTAACGGTCTAATCAGATTCAATGATCTATGCTAAGCTACAGCTAAAAGTGCTACCGCCAGACCCGGAGATCGGCTGAATGGATTCGAAAATGGTAAAACTCAACTGTTTAACTCTAGGGGAGTTGGAAAATGAGCCTATTTTCAAAAATAGTGGAGTGTTCCTTTAAAGCTGCAGATGACATAATTACAGTGCATGCTTATAAAAACAGAACATTGTTTTGCGTTGTTGAGGATGCTTATATACTTATTACAGTTATCATCTTGGTGTGAATGGGCCTTAACACATGTATGCGTGCGACTTACCGGCAAAAAGCTCCAATACCGTCAACCACATAGCACTGTCCTCCATTGAAGCAGTAACCGGGGAAGATGTCGCATGACGAGATACATGTGCCATTATAATGCACAAATCCATAGAGACAACCAGAGTTGAGCACATCTGATGCTCCAGGTGAAGTTTCTCCAGATCCATCATCAGAGGTGATAACTCTAGTGTTGGAGGGAACTGCGCTGGCTATGAGAGGAACATTTTCATCTTCCATGTCAGGTGGCGTTGGTTGGCTTTCCTCTAGGTAAACTTCAGTGGGCGAATAGTCTGGTGACAGATAATCATAAAAATCAGAAAGGGTCCAGGAAGTTGGATCTCCACCCTGGAGCTCCTGAACCCAAGCAGGAGGATCAAGCACATGCTGTTGGTGAGAAGGATTGTAAAAATTCACCGTGATAACTTCTTCTGGTTGGGAAGAGGTGGACTCAGGAGCAGGACTCGTGACAGGATCTAACAACGTCCCATCTGCTTGTAGTCTCTCACTCTTCCAGCGCGGGGCGCTGTCCTCGATTCTCTCCTCGCTAAAATCCCGCTGGGACAGGCCATGTGTCCGGGGTTCAGCCAGCGTGGGCAGCCGGGCAGCCATGCCATCTATCAGATCAATGAGGCGTTCCCTTTTGGCTGAATCAACAGTACTGGTTGAGGTTTCTCCACCGCTGCCTGACTCTTCTCCAGCTCGTGGTTTTCGAGAGTGAATTTGGGCCTGGGCAATAGGTGTGACTTCACCAGGAAGTGCAGACTTAAGCCCCACCCCATTCAGGTCTGAGGAATTAGTGCCAGTAGAATTGGAGCTAAATGAACTGCCTGGAAAACAAACAAATAATAATAAAAGTTAGTTACAAACTCTTTTATTTATTTATTTCTCTGTATAAGAACACCTTCACAAGCACTCACTGCTATACTGCAAACTCAGCAACTCATGCAGAGAGAGAACAAAAGACATAATATGTACTCTGTATCACACACACCCAGACAAATCTGCTTAATTATACACTGCTGTGTGCGAGGCCCCAGATTTCTTTCCAAAGCGGCTTGTGGTAGCTGGATTAGCAGCTCTGATTTACTAATGTACCCCCCTGAGCCCGGGCTAGGATTGGGATTCAGATTAGGATTAAGGGCTGTAGGTTGAGACTTGCATTGGTCAGTCTGGATGGGTAAGATTTAATGCGCAAAGATAAACACACAATGGGGAATTCCTCTTTAGCACTGGAAAATCTCACTGACCTAACTGATTATCCTTTACTGATACTGTAAACCAATCTAATGCAATCTACCTCAAATATGAACGCATGTGGAAATATCCTTTTTATTTCAATCCCTGATTGTCTAATATTATTTCATGAAATATATACACTACTGTTCAATACGTTGGGTCAGTATTCAATAAGATTTAAAAGAAGTCTCTAAAAGAAGGCTGCATTTATTTGATCAGAAATAATGTAAAAACAGTAGTATTGTAAATATTATTAATATTAAAATAAAACTGCCTTCCATTTTAATATTTTTTAAAATATACGTTATTCCATTCTTGCAAAGCTGAATTTTCAACAGCCCTTGTTCCAGTCTTAAGTGTCACATGATCCTTATGAAATCATTCTAATACTATATATACTAAGATATATCAAGATACATACAAGATACCTTTTTCATTTCTTTAATAAATGCTGTTCTTTTGAACTTCCATTTAAAATAGACATCTTTTAATACCAATAAAAAAAAATCTGAACGGTAGTGCATTTAAAACAGTAACACACAAGTATATATATAAAGCGTTTGTGCCCAATTGGCAAATAAAGCCCACTTCGATTCTGCTTGAGCATTTAAATTAAAACGGTAACAAAAAGCAGATCTGAGGAACATTTACAGTCAATTTTTCTAGATTGTCTTTCAGCAATCTACTTTAAGTATTTGACTGACAGTGTGAAATTCTGTTTCCATGGGCATTCTTGGTTTAATTCCTCTTTATTGTAAATTAATTCCAAGTCACACATCAATGCCTAACAGACACTCTCTCACACACACAGTTGCCAAGAAGCAATGTAAAGGGGCTGCCATTTTGGAACATCTCAAAAGCCATATAAAACAGAGACCCTTCTGTCCTCTCCACTTGATTCACTTCCTCTCTTTCTCCCATTCATTTATTCACACAATCCCCCCTGAGAGGGTAACGGAGATGGCAGTGGGTGCATAAATTATTTCTCACATACTTCACGTGATGTTCAAGTATTCTATTACATTCTTATCTAATTTCATTTCAAAGCAACAGTTGGCTCCTTTTACTTTTATTTTGAAATATTTAAGAGCTAAATGCTACACTGGACTGATGAAAATAAAACACAGTCACCCCAGAGCCCCAGAGCAAGAGAGACTAGAGGAAAACAGTTGTTTTGATTTGCATAACTCCTTGCGAAGGGGTCAGCTGACAGAAAAGAGAGGTTGGGGGAAAGTCTCATTGAAAGAAAAATACCACAAAACACATGCTATAATGGAGTGAAGATGAGAAAATGTGACAGTGAGAGTGTGTTTCTCCTTCTGCCTATTTGAAGACCAGTGCCAAAGCCTTTGAGAAGGATTTCTGTCGCCTTTCTGTTTAGTAAGCAAGTCAAGACTGCAAGAGAGAGGGGGATAGTGAGAAAAAAGGGGGGTAAGACGATCGAGAGTGAGAAAGAAATAGGGAAGAGAAGTATTTTCTCATGACCTCACCAGTGAGACATTTAAATTTGTAAGAGTGTGTGAAAGTATGCCGTCTTCATTCTCTCACTGTGCTCAAGGCCTCTATTTACAATCAATACCACATAAAATCTGAATCAAATCAGAATACAAATAAATAATGATCAAGGAAGACCAATCTAAACATCCAACTTCAGTGCTATAGTACTGTAAAGCAACACTGTACTGTTGAATATCTTAATATTCTCTCTTCACCTTCATTAAAAAAACAGCACACGTTCTTCCTCTGTCTCTGGTTGACATTATTTGCTTATGTAACACTCTTGAGGTGGAGAAAAAAGACTTCATGTTGCAGAGCATGGAAAACTGCAAATGTCAACTCTTCCTCTCTTCTCTCATCCCTCGTACTATCTTTCTCTCCCTCGATCTCTGATGACCCAAACAGACCTGTAATCTGAGGGAGTATTTGAGGTTACATGTCAAGATGCTCCATAAAAATGTCCATGTACAGAGAACAAAAGAAAATATTTAGAAGAGTGTTTGTCTATAAAATACTATATATTTATATATATATATAGTATGTTATAAAGTCTATAACAACACTATATTTGAGTGCATAAAAGGCATTTTAAAATACCGTATATTGTTTTGTGTTTAACAGAAGATTTCTAGGTGAACAACTCCTTTTCACTTAATCTTCAAAATGTGTTAAACAGAGCTGATTAGTCCATTCTTATTGGTAGTTGAAACGGTAATTAAATTAGCCAAAGTATTTAAAGTCAGCACAAAAAGACAAATCATCGATTTTCAAAACACATGTTATTGATCTTTTTGTGAGCAATTCATCCATCACAGTTTCAATTTACTATGTTTTTTTTTTTACCTCATACATTTTAATGTCTTAAATTAATTTTCACCAGACTTCAGAAATGACTTCGGTCTGGTGATGTATGCAGGACTTCTCCAATCATTTAGTCTCCTTAAAGGGACAGTTCACCCAAAAATGAAAATTCTGTCATTAATTACTCACCCTCATGTAATTCCAAACCCGTAAGACCTTCGTTCATCTTCGGAACACAAATTAAGATATTTTTGATGAAATCTGAGAGCTAAAGAGAAGAAATTGTTGAATAAAGTCGTTATTCTTGTTTTCTTTGTGCACAAAAGTATTCTCGTAGCTTCATAAAATTAAGGTTGAAACCACTATTGTCACATGGACTATTTTAACGATGTCCTTACTACCGTTCTGGGCCTTGAATGTGGTAGCTCCGTTGCTGTCTATGCAGGGTCAGAAAGCTCTCGGATTTCATCAAAAATATCTTAATTTGTGTTGTGAAGATGAACGAAGGTCTTACGGTTTTGGAATGACATGTGGGTGAGTAATTAATGAATTTTCATTTTTGGGTGAACTATCCCTTTAAACCTTTCTTACAATTGGCTGCAAGCTTGCAATCAGATCTGCCTACATCCAATCAACAACCAATGGATAAAAATCCTGATCTATATTTTTGATAATCCATTTTGGATGTACATCACCATACAGAAGAAAGGATCTGTCACTTTTTCCATTTCAATGCAACTTTAAAATGCAAGGGGCACAGACTGTGCAGAACTTTGTGAATGACGGACGTTCTGATTTCTGTGGGCGCAGATGCCATGTAGGCCTGCCGATTTCTTCTACTATGCAGCCAATGCTCTTTATGTAATAGACAACTTAACATTTAACTCACCTCACCTTAATTTCAAATCTGATGACTTGGTATCCTAAAGGCAAGTGTCATTCTAAGCTCTGCTGAATAAAATCCACACTGGCACCCATGTGTTTAGTTATAAATAGTACTGTGATGCTGCTTGGCAGGGGAGCTGGCATGGACGTCCTTGGCATCAGGGATGGGGTGTAGGTTCACAGCAGTATCAGTTCAAAGCCGAACAGACGTATAGAGATGCCAGACCTGGTGAATTAACAGTGCCAACTCCATGCCCCACCCCAACCTGTGCTACTGTTGTACAGCATGACCCATTAATAGTTATGCCACCTAAATTAAATATTTGGGCCAAAAACTGCGCTCAATGTGTTGAGAATGTATCAGATAGATTCAATGTTACTTTGGGCACATGCATGAGCCAGTAATGAGCATTGGAGCAGATTACAGAAGATCAGTTAAAACAATTCCAGTTCACTCTAATCTCGATTTAAGAGGGAAAGCCAATTGTTTGTTTCACCATTCATAAACAGTATGGCTTTAAAGGGGTCATATGATGCGATTTCAATTTTTCCTTTCTCTTTGGAGTGTTACAAGCTCTTGGTATTGTAGCATTTTTTTTATTAATGATATTCAAAGAATGCAAAAGTTAAAGAATGATAACTAGATCTAAATCTATGAGTCCACACCACAACTATAATGACAACAATGTTGAAAACACTTTCAGAGTCAGTCAGAATTCACCTGACTTTAAAGAGCTTGAGCATTTAAAGCATCAGATGACATATGCAGCGCACGTTTATTCAATTCAATTCAAGTTTATTTGTATAGCGCTTTTCATGATACAAATCGTTGCAAAGCAACTTTACAGCAAATTAGGTTTCTACAATATTTAGTAGTAGCTTATCAGTGGTGACTGTCAGTTAATGTACATATGGCAGAAATGTACGGAAAAATCAATTAAAGACGTAATCAAACAGACGATAAACACTATTAACAGCAATTATTATATGATGCAATCAAACTTATAGCAAAATGTATTAGTTCTGTAAGTTGTTTCATGGTTGGCATCATCTGAGGTCGTTTATAATACGTTATCATCCATTGGTGTAGATGCCAATTTCATACTGATAATTTTTTACACCTTTTTTACACAACCTTTACTGATTAAGCATTAAGATTAATTAATAAATAGCTTTTAATAAATTATAATTTTAGCTATTCACATTAACATTGTAGATAATTTATAATTTACTAAAATAATCATTTTAAATTGTATTAAAATATAAAATTATAAAATATTATACATGTAAAATATAGAACAAATATAGAATCACTTTCATGTGGACATGCACATTTTAATGACTGATTTTCAAATAATGCTTGCAGAGACAAAAACATTCTAATTAATATTGGTGTATGCAAGCAGTCATACGTGGATTTCTCGAAATCATAATTTTGTCTTAATCAGGTAAACGCTTTTGCATTACTGGTTTATAATCAGAATGTCCTAATTCCAATTGATGCAAGAATATTTTAGTGCATGTACACAATGTGTGTGCACAGCATCAAGTGTTTGAAAGAGATTGGTCTCCTTGTGTGTCTAGAAACATCATTGAGTTTAACACGTACAAAACTGGATCAACAGCAACATGATTAATTCAACTGTAATGTTTTATTGCACAGACGCTGACAACCAGCAAGTATCCAACAGGTTGTGTAGTTCCATAAGTTTCCAACAGTGTAGGCAGCTCTAGTGTCAGCGTCTGGCAGGATAAATACTGTTGGCCCTCACTGGGAGCTCCATACGGGCAGGCTAGGCGAGCGCTAACACTAGCTCGTTGACGCTAATGCTCATTGACAGTCTCTGCTGTTATGAGACCGCAGTGGCAGATGGCTCTCTTGTGCCATGCATGGAAAGGATCTAAGCAAGTTTAGCGAGAAAGTGCCCTAAAGAGATTATCTGAGGCTGGTTTTAGACGTTTTAAAATAAACATCAAGACTAAATCAAAGACTAAATCTGTGCATGTTTTTGTGAATGCATCCTGCTTGTCGCTTTTTATTTCTCTCTCTTGCTCTCCTAAGGTTGGGGATGTGAGTGCTAGGTCTTGGCAAAAACAACAAAGAAGAGTAACAGCCTTTTGTCACAGCATGCCCACAAATTTCAGCTAGGCACTAGCAATGCATGTTCAATTATTGTAATGATTGTCCCTAGTTTAACATAACAACAAAAGAAACACCAAATATAAGTAAAAGAGGGAATAATAGCACCTGGCAACAATACACAACACATTTCAGCTGAATGAATAGCTATGAAAAGTGGTCTGACTGAATTCTCTGAGTTGACTTTAATATAAAATGATGTGACATCTCTAAAAGGATAATGACATTCAATGAGGATATTTTATTTAGAGAATTTGTGGATTGTAAAAAGTGGCACCTTTGACAAGTGGTCGGAGGTAATGTTATATTTTTTTTTTTAAGAAATTTAGATTAAGATGACATCTTTTTGTTTGGAATAATGTGCACTGATTAATCATTCACTTTATGGAAGAAGAGCCGCAGGAACAATGTATACAAAAAAGTAAATTTTGATTGTGTTGACTGATGTAGTCAACGTATTTTAGCTGATATTTGTCCACTTACCAGTGTCAGCCGATATGTTGTTGTTTTTTCTGTGCAGCCAATGTTTCGGAAGGAACTTTTATTTTGACAGTGCCAAGAATGCCAGCACCTTAGTGCAAATGTGGATTTAAAGTATAAATTCTTGATTTCAAACTATGCTATGCTATATCCAGTTGGCCACCATCATATTCATGTTATGTCACGGTTTGTTGTATGTAAAATTAATCTCTCCTGGTCTTTATTTATAAAAAAAAAAAAAAAAAAAGATTCCCGCTGAGCACAAACTTATTACTAAATGCACTGTTGGTTACAGTGTTTACTTCCTTTTTTAATTAATGTTTTAACTACTTTATTTGTGAGAAGTACTGTAATAGTATTACAGAATCAAGTTGAAAAAAATTAATCTGTAAAATAAACAGATTTACACTTAAGCAAGTTTAAATTTGTTTCATATTTATCAATTTTACAATTAATTATTTTATTATTAAATATGCAGTGTCTTTGCAGCATACAGTATTATGCATGTTATTTAAATACAATCGTGTAATATCATACTTAACGGCCACCTCAATATCGGCATCAACCATCAAAAAAATCCATATCGGTCGACCACTACTTTAAAGCCCACCTTCTGCAGTCTATGACTAATCAATACTGTCAATCATCGTTCACCAGGAAGTGTGTTAATCAATAATTCCAGCAACATGCCAGAGCAACTGCACCATTTACGTTCCCACCCCCACAAACAAAAACAAGAGCACTGGATTTGTTAATTGTTAATGATTTTAAAAAGCAAAATAAAAGCTATTTATTTGTTATCATTGCTTAGGTCAGTTTTCTCAGCAGAGCCTGCTTGCTTAATGTCCTGTGTTGATGAAAGATGCATGTCACTGAAGAGTCAGTGATGCGATAACACATAGACTTTGGGAAGTCTGCCAAGAGGTCAGAGGTTCAGCTAAGTGCAAACGTTTAAAGCTTCTAATGCAAATGATAATTTCCTGCTTTACTCAATCATTAGTTAGGCCAAGGCAACAGTAGTGTGATGCAGGTCAACCACGCCAACGTGACAGTTTGGTTACTCATGCAGCAAAGCCTGTTGACCTAGTCTTCAGGTGCTGTTGCTCAGCAACATTTTTTTTAAAGGACCATAATTTTGTCAGTGGAAAAATGGTCACCCTCTTATTCCATAAATATGTGAATTATTTGGTAAACTTAAACTTAGATTTAAAGGGGTCATATGATGCGATTTCAAGTTTTCCTTTCTCTTTGGAGTGTTACAAGCTGATTGTGCATAGATAAGATCCCTGAAGTTGCAAAGACTAAAGTCTCAAATAATGATCTTTAAAAAAGCATCATATGACCCCTTTAAAAATTAAGCATCAAATACAGCTGCGATTAAAAGATGCACATGAAAAACTCATGAGCATTTTTTGCAAGCCAAAAGTAAGTTTTCTATTATCCAGTCTAAAATACATAGCCTAATACATGTTTTATACAAAGTATAAAATCGAGTAAATTATTTGGTTCATGATCAGCCATGAATTACTACATACATTTTTAAAAGACATTTAAATATTTATTAAAAAATATACCAATAAGGTGAAGAAAAAAGGCTGTGTGTAAAACATTTGATCTAAAACGTCCATACTTCTGAAATTGAAACGACTCGAGCTTCCTCAAGTAATTGTGCTAACGATTTATTACATAACTTAAAGTTCATTCACATGTAAACACCCATTTATCGCTAGATCCGATAGTGAATTTTTTTAAGTTTTATTACATTTTTGTTTAAAATATGAACAATTTATACCCTAAAAAGCTCCAACAGGTCACAGAAAAAAACTACGAAGGTCTCTGTTAAATGCAGGAAAGGCAGGCATTTAGAAAGATTGTATAATAATACTCACCACCATTAACACACAAAGGAGTGAAGTGAAGGAGCAGGACGCTGGACAGCACCACTGCTGGAACCAACGTGCGCCTGGAGTTCATCACGACACAAACTGTCTTCCAAAACACTTCAAATGAACCAGGTGGATCTTCTATTTAAGATATAGTCATACGGGAGATATTTGAGAGAATCCGAGCTATAATCCTGGACATAAATCTCCTTAGATTGAATGCGTTACGAAGCACGCTGCTTCATGCCAACTTCGGATGTTGTCTTCAGTTGTTATTCCTCTTTGGTCGAGATTCAGGCCACCCTTTAGCGTCGCTAGGGACCCGTCATCTCTTATCCAACTCCAACAAGATACCAAGACAGTTAGATGTGTCTCGTTAGCAATGAGAGCCAGTTATCAGGCGTCCACTGAGGAAGCGGAGAGTTTCGGTGCCACAGACCACAGTAGGCTAATTCCAGCGGACTCCGCCAGCGCGAGTTTTATATCCCAGTCGAACTCACTGTTGATGTGAAGTCATCTGCGCATGCGCCTCCTTACCGACACAATTTCTGTCATGATATGTGATAGAATCACTAAAAAAGTCAATCAGCTCAGGAGTAAATATGTAACATTTACGGTCCCTAAATGCACTTAAATATAAAATATTGACATAGAAATTGTTTCATAATAAAAAATGTATCTGAGCTCTTTGAAGTAAGGTACAAAACTGATGCAGGCGGCTCCCCCGAACAAAGCGTCTGAAATTGGGTCACCCATAGACGCCAGTCCAAACATAAGCAAACACTGTGTAGAGGGCAGGGACACTCCATAACTAGTTTTTCTAAAATCAGTGCGATCTGTGGAAATTATCCTTGGTCAAAGGGGAAATTGGTATTTTTTAACCAGTATTATGTAGAATTATAAATTGTATTTATTAATATGTAGAATTAGGTTTTATTTTAATATTTATGGTTTGCATATTAAGTTTTAGTAATTCTGTAATTTTCTTTTAGTTTTATTATAGTATAAGTAAAATTAAGGCATTTATCAATATTTTAAAATAGCTTTTAATTTATATTTTCAGTTGTGATGATGTTAGGTTTTAGTATTTTTGTGCTGATGGAAAATGACTTTATCATCTGTTAATTCTGTTCTAGAAGCTTCTTCTGTGTCTGTCTTCATGATCATGTTGATACCATGTGTCAAAACAAGTGTCAGACAAGAAATGTTATTTCTGTTAGGTAGGGGTCCCATAAAAGGGAATGTAAGCAATATGCATCACACTTGGTTAATAAGAGAATATCCTGGTATAGTTTAGAATATAAAAGATTGGGACTAAGGGTTATTCATTTGTCACACACTCTGCAGATGCTCTGTATGACTGTTTGACCTTCTCTTAAGAATAACTCGTTTCTTTGATACAGCTGCTTTCAGAGCCCCTATTCTATGGAAGCATATGGGTAGCAAAATTCATTTTGAAATGTAATATGCAAAATGACAATGCAATATGTAAAATGGCAATGTATTTCAGTATTTAAATTTACATTTTCCCATACATATGTGCAACATTTAGTGCAAAATGGAAATGAAATTTCAATGATATAATTTACATTTGCCATTTTCTACACTAGTTTTAATATGTAAATTAAAAACATATTTTAATGCTTTATAAGTTGCAAAATTAAAATGAAATTGTATTACCCAAATTGATTAGATATGTTTAACATGTCCAAGCAAAAAACGTTAGCAAAATTATCATTTAAATGCCATTTTTCCTAAATGCATTTAGACTTACAGGTAGGACACTCGAGATTGCATTTTCATCGTGATACCACGTGAGAATTGTAGCAAAATGCGGTGTGAATTTCAAAATGCCTTCTGAGCCAAATGTGCAGCAAAAGCGTAGCAAAATGGTGATTTAAATGTCTTTTATTCTTCTTAAATGCATTGACACTTACACTTAAGAAGTTTCAGTTGCATTTTCATTAAATACCCCACGATAATGTAGTTTAAGTCAATGTGGATTTGAAAATGCATTTTAAGCCGATCACGCCCCCAACCTGCCAATCATTATATCAAGACGGGGCTCGGCAACAAGATGCACAATAGGTCAATATTCACCATTAACCAAGCGCTTTTCACCGGTCTCAACATCTCTCACTGTTTTACACTCCGATTGATGCACATAAGCAGACACTGCAATTCTACACTTTTACCTACTTGCTACCATACTCAGTGTTGACAATTTAGTAGCTAGATTTAGCGACTTCCCCACCCCTTTTGAGACTTTTTTTTTTCAAAAGTTTAGGGACAAATATAGCAACTTCTTGGACAAAACTTATCTAAGTTCTCATCTTGCCCACTGATATAGATCAGTGAATTTGCCATTATGATGTCATCTAGTGACATTTAGCTACCAGTTTTAGCTACTTTCAATTAAAAGCAGTTGGCAACACACACTACACCGGATGCGAGCGGCACGACAAACGACAGTATTGAACCCATTATAATCAGCGATGCTGTCTACACTGGATGCGGCGCGACACGACAACTGTCGCGTCCGGTGTAGCCACGGTGTAAGGTGGCAAGTAAATAAGTGTAGAATTGCACTGTCTGTTTGCTTATGTGCATCAATCGGAGTGTAAAACAGTGAGAGATGTTGAGACCGGTGAAAAGCGCTTGGTTAATGGTGAATATTGACCTATTGTGCATCTTGTTGCCGAGCCCCGCCTTGATATAATGATTGGCAGGTTGGGGGCGTGATCTGCTTAGAATGCATTTTCAAATCCACATTGACTTAAACTACATTATCGCGGGGTATTTAATGAAAATGCAAAGTGTGAGTGTAAGTGTAAATGCATTTAAGAAAAATAAAATACATTTAAATCACCATTTTTGCTGCACATTTGGCTCAGAAGGCATTTTGAAATTCACACCGCATTTTGCTACAATTCTCACACGGTATCACGATGAAAATGCAATCTCAAGTGTCCTACCCGTAAGTCTGAACGCATTTAGGGAAAATGGCATTTAAATGATAATTTTGCTCCAGTTTTTGCCTGGAAATGTTAAACATATCTAATCAATTTGGGTAATACAATTTCATTTTAATTTTGCAACTTATAAAGCATTAAAATGTTTTTAATTTACATATTAAAACTAGTGTAGGAAATGGCAAATGTAAATTATATAATTGAATTTTCATTTTCATTTTGCACTAAATGTTGCAAATATGTATGGGAAAATGTAAATTTAAATAAAGAAATACATTGCCATTTTACACATTGCATTGTCATTTTGCATATTACATATCAAAATGAATTTTGCTACCAATATGCTTCCATATTATTCCTCACCATATACAATGTTTTTTTAAATTTTCCCTAACATTGCGTTTCTCATTTTCCTTTTTAAATATAGCTTTAATTTTGTTTCAGTTTTAGTAATTTTAGTACTTCAACAAACCTAATTCAGTGAGTTGCCAGGGTACCATTTCTATAACAATTCTCAAAGGGACAGTTCAGCCTAAAATTATCATTATTTATTCACCTTTATGTTGCTGCAAACTTGTGACTCTTTCTTAAGTCGAACACACAAGACACTATTTAAGGAAAATCTAGCTGCTCCTTTCCATACAATAAAAGTGTTTTTGCTGAAAATCTTCCCCTGCAGCCTGTAGCTCTCAAATCTCATTTATGAGCTCCACAGCTCCCTTCTCCATTTACTCTCATGTATAGAAAAGAGCTTTTCCCAAACCTTGTGCACTAGAGTGACCTGTGATTTAAGTTTCTTTTAAAAATTAAAGCTGTTAAAAATACATCTGGAACAGATCAAGTAATGGCGCAGCCCAGTTTTCTTCATAGTTAAGAACAGTTGACTGCTGAAATACCCCGAATATCAAATGAAATGCATCAGAGAATAAGCTAAGTTATAACTTCATATAAAAGATTTATTCTTACTAAAACAAATGTTTTAGTACTTTGTGGCAATACAAAAACAGATCTACAAACATTAAGTACAGACAGATATGGCAACGAAAAGCCTCAAATCTGACCGTTATATGCCAGCATTAATGCTTAAAAAATATTAAATATACACAGAAGTGCTATTGTAAAGGTGAATGTGGATAATGATGTGACCATGTCCTTCATGTCATCTTGCTGAGTTTGGGTCTTAAGGCGTTGAAGACGTTACATGGGTGCGGCCCCATCGGCCTGTGGAGTTTGGTCTGAGTTGGAAAAAAATAAAAAGCAGCCGGATTCAAAAGGTTTTGAACACCGCGCTGGAGTTGATCAGCATTTGAGTTGAGGCATGTGTTACTCACACATGCCATTGGGAGCTCCAGAGTGCTGAGCACCCATGACCTGTCCAGTACCAGCACTGCCCACCGAACGACCTAAGGAGGACACAAAAACCAGTGTTATTAAGATTAATATGAGTGTGCATGAGACAAAAGCGCTGACTGTGATTTATAGGAGAGTGTACCGTGGTGAAGAGGGTTGTATGCTGTACTACTGCTGCTCTGTGTAGCTCCTGTTTGTTGCTGCTGTTCCACGTTCTGCCGTGCCTTCATCTCGGCATATTTCACCTGCTCCAGGTGAAAGTTCTGCCTCTCCGACAATAACTGCTGTCTCTGCTGCTCCAGCTACAACAGACAGATATCAAATGAAGTTCAAACCTGAAATCTTCACATTAAAAATGCAGTTAGCAGTCAGCAAGATCTTTCTCGGTTTAAATAAAAAAGACAAAATGAAACCATAGAGGTTTGGAACAACATGAGGGTGAGTAAATGATAACACTTTCATTTTTAGGTGAACTATCCCTTTAAGAGATTACGAAAACTATTAATTTCCAAAAATAAATAAATGGCAATTAAGATGCATGTCGAAAAGCACTCTTGCACTGAAAAATAATTAGTGTTCTCTCATAAGTTTCTTGGAGTGATGCCAGGTCTTGTTTGAACAAGGCACTCTAACTCACAGCCTCTTTTTCTCGATCCATAATGGTCTCCAGCTCTTCAAAGTGTCTCAGTTTGATCTCCAACTTTTTCATCTGAGTCTCAACCAGCAGAGCCACCAGAGATTTGATTTTCCTCTCTTCTACTGCAGCCAAGTGCTAGAGGGACATAAGAGGAAGAAGGAGAAGAGTGAGTTCAGATGAATCACTATTTTTGTCACTATTAATGGTCACGGGAGCGGGTGCAAGGAAAGAGGTTGGACATCCACCTTTGCTTTGGTAGCTGCGGAGGCCAGTGCTGCAGCAGCAGCTGTGGCGATGTTTCCCTCCACCACCTCAAGCGCCACCCTTCTCTTCATCCCCTCCCCGTCCCCTTGGGTGAGGCCCATGTCAAAACTCTCCTCTGGATAGATGAAGAAATACAGTAGGGATTGCATGACTTATTTTTTTACTTGTTGTATAGAAAATAGTAGACTTTGTGAGAAACAAAGATTATATGAGCATGTAAACTACTGTTCAAAAGATTAGGGGTCAGTAAATAATTTTTTTTTAAGAAATGATAACCTTATCCTGAAAAACGTATCACAGTTTTAACAACAACAAAAATAGCAT